GTAGATATTTTTAAATAAATAAATTATATTTTAAATTTATGATAAATAATTTATATTATTGTAAAAAAATATTTTTAATCATTGAAAATTTATTTTAAAATATTTAAACTTAAGTTAAAAATAAATATGATAAATATAAAATTAAAGATAAGAAGTTAAAAAAACTCCATCATTCTAAAAATATATCATCTAAAAACACATGCGCAAGATAATTAATTATGTTTAATATATAGAAACAAGTAGTTTATACTATGTTGTAAAATTATTATAAATTATATATTAAAATTTAATTTCAAAGTAAATATGATAAATATAAATTAAAATAATTAAGAAGTTAAGAGAGAATCTCTAAAAACACTCTAGTTGAGAAGAAATACCTACAAACACTCTCATGCAAGATAACTTTGTGTTTATATATAGAATTTTTTTTTTCTTCATAAAGGTGTGGATTATCTCTCAGTAAAATTGGATGAAAAATAAGAACTTCATTGAGATTGAGGTGATATAAAAAAAACAAAAAAAAAGCAAAATTAAATACAGAATGACAGAAAGCAAACAAGTCACTATGAATTTTGGTTTTGGTACAAACTGGAGGTGCAAGCACCTAGACCTATAACCGAGGACACAAAAACAACTCAAAATTTATTGCAATTCTCAACAAATTAAATAGAATTCAGATATTGACACAAGTATAAAAAATACGATGTACATCACATTAATTCTCTATAATACCAACAGACTTAACAAGCCCCCTCAAGAAAAAGCATCTATCTAAATGAAACCCTATAGATCAAAACTATGAAGAAAAAAAATGAAGATCTAAAAATGGGGACCCCTTGATAAGGAATTAACTTTTAAGAAGCAAACATGAAGCAGTTGGACTCCAACACCAAAAATGAGGCAGCAAGAACAGGTTATTTCTTAATTTGACTCTACAAGAATGTATTAAATATCTAAGCTATGATTTTCTTTCCTTTAACCTTATCCTTGAGGGCACCTTTATATGGTTTTGATAAATCCAATGCATCACCTGCAGTGTGTTTCTTTCGCTTTGTGACACCAATGGTAGCAGGATTACCAATGGGACCTGACCAAGCTTGGAATGGATCCTTTGAAAATGTGTATGAGGTTGAACCCAAAGAGACGTCAGGAGGAACAATATCTGGATCAATATGGTTGGAAGATCCCAAAGGAAATCCAAGCTGTCCATCTTCATGTGGTGGAGGAAACTTTTCACTCTTGCTCTTAGCATTTGCATGAGTGATTAAACGCCTTCTCTGTAGAATGGGAAATCATAACAACAAATTTTAACAATCCTTCTATACTTTCAATCACAATAGAGATTTTCAATTAAAAAAAATGAAAATGAATTTTATTAGAAGGAAAGCATCGGTAATAAGACAAGTCAGGATTAAGGATTTGTTTGAATAAACTTCTAGGTGAAAAAATAGGAAGAAAAATCAAAATAAGTTTCTCTATAAATTAAAATTAGTTAATACATAAGTTAAAAACAAGGTTTTGAAGAGGTTAATAAGAAAGAACCTCTACAAATTAGCTTATGCATCATAAACTAATTTTAACTTATAGAGAAACTTATTTTATTTATCTTTTCTATTTTTCTTTCCTAAAAGTGTTTGTGGAGAAGTTTACCCATATAGACTCTAAATGAGATTCATAGACAAAGCCACATACAAACTGAAGAACTAGATTGATAGCTTTAATAATCACCTAGTTGACTGCTAATAACTTACTAGTCTACTTGAAATTGTTATCCCTAGATAACTGTCAGTGTAAGAGTGAGAACCATGAGGAAAGTTCAGTAATCAAATCCCAACACTGCTCTTTCTACTTGTTTTTACAATCATTTCATTTAATTATTTAATCTTGGGGGATAAAATAATCTCAAAGCACATCTATTAAGTGACTTCATAAACCAATGCATCAAAAAGATATATTTGTGATTATCAATAGAAGTAATTATCTTTAACATACATCAATATTGGATTGAAGCTCGGCATTGGCTTCCGCAGCAGGAACAGGTTTTACAGCACGATCACGTGTTCGGTTCTTCCTTGCACCATCAACATGAGTTTTGCCCGCAGCTCTTGATCTGACCATTCATATTTGCAGAGATTCTCGGTCAAATATAAAAGGATCAGTAAATTAAAACTTGCAGATGTTAAATTGTTAATCAAAAGGATCACTCTTCGCTCTTCATATCTCTATAAACAAAGTGCATGTCATTGTGTGTGTGTAAGTTAAAGCAGACTCTGTTTTGTCTGCCCACCATCTTTAGTGGTGTTCAGAATAATATTAAAGCATGCTTACAGGAAAAGTATAGTTCATCACTTGTATCACTACTGTCAATAAAGAGAACATGTAAATAGTTGCAGTCTCCACTTTTTGTTCCACAAGAGTCATTATTATTATTTGCATATCTGTAAGTTACTCAAAAAAAGATGCAAGGTTATAAAATGTCACTGAATAATTGAGATAATATAAAATGGAATTGTTAACACTTAACTCCACCTAACATTTTTACCCATAATGTCCATACCTCACACTTTTCTGACCTTTTTTTTTTATGAATAATATCATTGCCTTTAATAAATGTTCAAATGCATGTGCACCTAACTTCTAGTGTGAAACTGTGAATAAAGCAAACTTAAAGAGGAAATATACCTCCTTGCTTCGTCATCCCGTCGTTTAGCATCCATTTCCTTGGTTGGGGGATATTTTGGAAGACTAGAAGGATCACAAGCATAAGGTTCTGTGGTAAAGAACTGCAAAATGATAGGAAAGTTGAACAAAGTAAATGCATATATAGGTTTTATTTTTTTATTCTTTAGAAAAAGAGCATCTAAATTCAACAAAGATAACACCTACTTCAGATTCAAGACAAGTTTCAATTTATTAAAATATATTTGGAATATCCACACCCCTTATGGTGATCATTTAAAACACGTCACCCATTCCATCACTAAGGACATTTGTTTACATATTATTCCAAGGGAAACGAGACAGAGTGATTTCTCTTCCTAGGTTACCTAGACACCAGCATTTTACATCAAATCAAACTTGTTGATCCTATTCCAAGAAGGGATGCATATTCTAAAGTAAACAAAGCTTAGGAGAGGCACATCATCAGGCCAATACAAAATAACAATGGTTTTTTGGTATAAGATATCCAAGGCAAGAAGCTGAAGAACCATGTTCTCCAAAGTGTATTGTCAACAATAGAAGCATTCACCGGCAATCATTGTTGTTAAGTATCATAGTGCCAAATAAAACTAGTGCCTACATCACAAATAAGTCATAGGCCATCATGAATTTCAGCATGAGGTTTATTTTATATGTTTCATGAAAGGGTTTATGTGCTTTAGGCGATCTAACATACACTGAGAATAGATCAGGATCCAATAGATTACAATCGTCTAAGTAGCAAATCATAATATCAATAACATGGCAATACAAAATTTAAAAATTCCATGCCAGCATTTAAATGACAAAACAATCAGGAATTTTGAAAAGCCCACCTCACTTATTAGAGCATCTGAGGCACTCATCCGCTCTGCCGGATCAATTGCAAGAAGAGTGTCGATGAGGGGCAGAGCAGAAGGTGGAAAATCTTTGAATGTCTCTCTTATGCATCTCTTGTATGGTTCTCGAGGTTTAAACAAGGTAGCATTAGGCATCTTGGACTTCTTCCAATACTCATCAGAAGGTGAACCACAAAGTTTGTATATCTTATGCAGTTGTTCCACCTAAGTCAACAAGTAAAGGTCAGCAAATATATTGAGATTTCACATAACAGTTAATAAAGAGCAAGTGATATAACCTTAATGCATTACAAATTCCCTCAAACTATGTAAGAGATGATAGAACTAAACATAAGATCTACTATATCACTTAAAAAGGGTGATTTGCTGAAAACATACTTGGAATGCATTTAAACAAATACAGAAATCTTGTACACATTGCAGAGTAACACAGTTTCCTAGTTATCAGTCCGCGTTGCATAATTAGATAACCAAACCAAAATTATTAGTCACTAGTACCAATAAATCCTTAGAAATGCATGTCCTGATTATCCTTATACTTTGAGGGCGCCTTGCTTCATTTATCATCAACCCACAGCTAAATAATATAGGTAAACTAAGACTTTATAACAGTCAACCAAGAAAAATGTTTTGGGAATAACATTTTGAATTAGTAACAGGTCTACAGCTTCTAGTATGCAATTATCTTGTCAAGAAATATCCAGTTGTGCTATGCCATTTCATTCCTCCCAAGAAATTTTCAAGTAAATACCTTATTGACCATCATTCAGCTCAGCTATAACAATCATGCTCCCTTATAGAAATCAAAATTTGTATCTCCTTTTAACCTAATTTTTGTTTCAAATTGTACATGTACATCAAGCAGCTTGAACAAGGGGTATAAAGCAAATTGTAGACATGCAAAAATGAAAACCAATGGTACAAATGCTACATCAGAGAGACTAGAAGTAACAAGTAGTTACGATCTCTTCCACTGGCTTTAACACTATCTGGGCTACAATTTGACTTGTTCCACTTTCATTAATCATGTTTTAAATCTCAACAAAGGCATATGCAGTTGTCTATTTAATACAATAGTTAGATCATTCAGTAATTCAGCCCTTGGTTATTTCTCATGGTTTTTCTTTCATTTCTCATTGATTGCATGTCATCATATTCATTGCAAATATGCACATTGTGGACCTTCTAATGGCAGTACAGAGCACAAAACTTGGATTAAATGCACATGGACTTACCCTGCGAGAAAAGAGGGGTTAGGGAGGGAGGGAGGGAGGAGGAGTTGCAAAGCAATAAGTAAAAGGTTCACATATTCATGTCTAGAAAGTAGAATCTTCCAATAGAATATATAACTTCTTTTTGACTATTTCAAAACAGAAAATTTGTTGTATCACGCTAACTGTTAAGCAGAGATTGAAGGGAAATGAAAATTACTATAAATCAAAACACATTTTATGTTTTCACCTCTGTACGACCAGGCAAAATAGGTTTCCCTGCCAATAACTCTCCTAAAATGCAACCAACACTCCACAGGTCCACACCAACACCATATTCTATGGCACCAAGAAGCAACTCAAGAGGGCGGTACCAAAGGGTAACCACCCGATTAGTCATGGGATGCCTGTGGTTTGGATCAAAAAAAGATGCAAGTCCAAAGTCAGCAATTTTAAGTATTCCTTCATTGTCAATAAGAAGATTTGATCCTTTAATATCTCGGTGAAGTACGTTTCGACTATGACAGTGCTCAAGTCCTGATAGCAGCTGATGCATGTAACATTTAACCTGCAGTAGGAGAGACACAGTATTTGGAGACATCAAATACTGCCAATCAGACAGAAACTGAACTTTATAATTTATTTCTTAGATTATTAAGGCAAACCTGGTCTAACCTGAGGCTCTGTGAATTTGATGTCAGGGCTTGCAGCAAGTCCAGCTAAATCATGCACCATGTAATCAAACACCAGGTACAAACTCAAGGACATTCTCGATGTAACTAAACCTTCTAGCTTAATAACATTGGGGTGATCCAATCTTCGCAAAATAAGAATCTCTCTAGCCATGAATTTTACACTCTCAGGTTCCAAATTGTCAAATCGAACCTTCTTCAGTGCAACAATCTTACCCGTCAATGTGTCTTTAGCTTTGTATACATTACTATAAGTTCCTTGACCAATCTAATACAAAGGGAAATTCAAAGAAAAAGAAAACAAGAATGAGAAGAGCAGAATAATGCATCTCAATATGTAGACTCAATTCCTTTTATCATTCCAATAATGCATCATGAGTTATGACAATATTGATGGACTTCAAACCACATCCATACATCCCTGATATGGCATGACTCATCAAATACATTTCCATCTCAAGTCGAATGTAACACAAGCACCCTAAAAATAACCAAAGTTCAAAATTTAGCCAGTCAATACAAACCCACCTTATCAATTTTCTCAAATGTGTCAGCCTTTCGTGGAATCCACCCATTAAGTGCCTCCCCACACACTGCTGTTAGCCAAGGTGGCCATCCAGCTGCTACTTGCTCTCCTTGCAAATGCTTTGGTGGATTACTTAGCCTTGGATTTGGCTTTGATCTTCTTCTTTCGCCCTTCGGCTGCCGAACCCCGTCATCACCACCATTCTCTTCCTTTTCCTTCTCACCCTTCTGAGCCTCTACCTCGTTCCCCTCAGCTCTGCTTGTGGACACTTCATCAACCTTGTTGGACTCACCACTCAAATTCTTCTCCTCCTTCCCCTCAGAGATTATTCCGGATGACACTTCTCTGCTAATCACACACCCCATTTATTCTCCTCGAACTCAAGCTTCATTCCCTTGACATGGCCTGTTTATGCAAGGGTTTTTATCACCACACTAATCCAATAAAAAAAGCAAGTATGATTATGATTATGATTATAACTATAACTTGTGAATATGAATGAGTAACATAGTAACATGCTTTTTACCCTTGATCAACTAGGTAATCCTACAAAATTTGGAATCAAAGTAAAACTTATTCACGTTTTGAACAATCACTGGCCCACAAGGTGCAGGCGCACAAACATAGCAGGAGATCAATTAAGAATTAAGAATTAAGTTGAGGTCAAAGGTAGCCAGATTCAGGGCGGCGTCAAAGTGATCTATCTATCTACATACACACAAGGAGAGTGAAAAGCAAAAAAAAAAGTTTTTTTTTTTAAATTTTTATTTCCCCAGATAGGCACAGAGCAAGCACGTGATGGGGTTGAGAAAGAAAAGGGAAAAAAGATTGTGGGTTGTTGCAGAGGAACAGTAATTGGAGCTGGGGTTTTGTAATTCCTATAAAGAGAAAGAGGTTGTCTTGTCTGAGAAGTGTTGTGGGTACTGTTTACCTGCGTTTGTTTGTTCTTGTGATGTTGTTTGGTCTTTTCTGGCTCTGAGACGAAACGAGGAATATAGAGAGGATGAGATCTTCCAATTCCAACTCTCAAAAAGTCAAACCTCTCCAAATCTCTTTCTTACAACACCCATTTCGTTTCTTTTCTTTTCTCCTCTTCCCTGCTTCCTAAATTCATTCTTATTTCTTACTACTATTTTCCTTCTTTTTTCTTTTTATTTCATTGGAGTGCCCAAACAAGAAAAGAAAACACACGAGAGGGAATAACTGGAAAAAGGACTAAAAGGAACGGAATTCAGACACTCGTTCACCA